AGTACCCCAGATGTCTCTGAATTCAATAGAACAATGCAACAAATTAAGTCACAACGGGAGGAGGCATATGACTGGTTGTTGGCTTTGCCATTAGAGAAGTGGGCACTCTGTTCCGATGGTGGGGCTCGATATGGAATCCTGACCACTAATCTTTCAGAAAGCTACAATCACGTGCTTAAGGGATGCCGATCTCTTCCAGTATATGCCATTGTGAAGACGACGTACAAGCGATTAGTAAAATTATTTGCAGAAAGGCGTACAAACGAATTTACATGGCTACAAGCGGGATTTAAGTTCCCAAAATATATTTGGAACGAGGTGAGACGCATGGAAGACGCAACAAGGGATTTATCGGGTCGTTGTTGAGGGTAACGCTGGAGCTACCGGTAGATTAGATGAGATTGTCGTGCATCTGGGCCAAAAATTGTGCACTTGCGGGAAATGGGCCACATTGCACATGCCATGTGTGCATGTCTATGCCGTATGTCGTTATTGCAACATTATTGTTGATGATCTCATCCCACGAGTGTTTTCACTTCAGAATTATCTTGATGCATATTCTGGAAGTGTTATGCCACTACAAAACGAAATTGAATGGCCTACCCTTGGTTATGAATTAGTCCATCCATTTACAGGGCAAAAGTCACAGGCCAGTCGGCCAGTGAGTACTCGTTTCACATATAATATGGATATGCGAGCACGAAGACATCGTCGGGGAACTTAGTTAAATTATAAATTTCAATGTGGGATTTTTATATATGTACGACAACTTTTATTTGTATGCTTTTTATTTCAGTAGTAGTGCATCAAATTAATAAAAATTTTATTATTGTTCAAATTTAATGCCAAAATCTAACAAAGGGATGTATTTAATTTCGTAATTATAAATAACTAATAGATTAATGGTACTGGCTGTACCGTTAATCTAAAAAAAATAAAATTACGGTACTAGCAGTCCCGTTAATGCTTAAATATGACCACTCTGCGCAATGTCATGTCAGACTTCCATTCACCATTTGGGAATGGTTTTTCAAAAATTGCACTGATTGGGAATTCATCCTATAATGTTCCTCACAGTCCTACACTGGAACCTACCCTTAGTCACATTCCTAAACCTGTAAATGATTAGGACAACAGAAATATGTCAGTTATTCCTTTTATGGAAGAAGTTAAAAAAGAAGTATGGGACCTAAATGAAGATGACACAACTAGACCTGATGGGTATAATGGGAGGTTTTGCAAATCTTTTTAAAATACTATTTCTGATGATGTTCTGTTAGCCTTTTAAGAATATTTCTTGGTCATCAAAACTCCCAAGTCCTATGGCAGTACATTTCTGACCTTAATATTAGAATTTTTGCTATGAGATTGGGAGACATTCATCCTAAGATCATATCTGAAGTGTAAGCGGGTTTTCAGAAAGGCAATGGTTACGATGAACAGATTTTACTAACACATGAGATGGCAATTAAGATAGAGAATGGAGACAGAGGTATAGCTCAAGCCTTTCAGAAAGCCTCTTTGGCATATCTTAGAGGTACCCTCAACCAAATGCGCTTTAACATTCAAGTTTAGAATACTCTTATGGGTAACCTTAAATCCACTAACCTGTCATTTGTTATTTATTAATAATGAAACCCCTACTCGATTCTTCAAAATGTCTAGCCCCCCGCCCCATCAGATAATTTTTTTAGATTTATCTTATACATTATTTTTAAAATATTATTTTATCTAATCATTATACCTATACCATATAATATTTATTTAATTTGAGGTCAAGATTGATGATTGACTGTAAAAAATCAAAACTTGACAAATATTCAAGGACGGAGATAAACTTATACTTCCTATTATAGTGATTATTCATAAACAAAGTACGTATATTGGACTTCACTGAAAATGGGGATTTATAGTCTTAAAATAGTTTGCAGAATATAAAAGTATAGATGTATAGTTGCATAAACATTTTATGAAATTTGCTAAGGCTTCGTTCGGTACACGTAATTCAAACAATGAAATTGGAATTGGGGACAAAAATTCTAATTTTACTCCTTGGGAAGACAAAAATATGTAGATTTGGAATTGGTAGTGCAAAAACGAATTGGAATTGGATAATTCAATTTCATCTAAATCAATTCTATAGAATTTCAATTCTTATATTATTTCTAATTCCGTCAATTCCGTGTAAGAAACAGACCCTAATGGTAAATGAAGTGTTTTTCAAAAGTGCTCAATTCGGGTGGACCCAAACACTTTACTCTCAACATCTTTCCTCCAATGCTAAGGGCACTGGAAATACCCATGAAGCCCCGGGGCTTCAAACCTTCTCTCTCTGCCACGTCATTTTTAACTTACCTCATAGTTTTAGTAGAAATGGGTTTGAAGCCCCGGGGCTTCAAACTGGGCTTCAGACATTCATTTTTTACATTTTAAATACACATCTTCTAAAATTAAATTAATAAAATTTAAATATTTAATTATTTAAAAGAATTGAAACGAGAATAGTTCATTAAAAAATATATTCATTATAAAGGCTTTACCCTTAAGTAAAGGCTAAACATTGTCATTTGTTGATTATTTTTATCGAGTCAAAATCTACTCACATTCAATTGTAAGTCGTTTTTTTGCAAGTAAAAGCAAAAACAAGATTGAAAGTACTGTATAAGGTTTAGATGATAGCGGCAATCCTTGCAACTTCAACAAAATTGTGGTATATCTTAATGTTTTCTAAACAAAAATGGCTTTAACTTAGACATTTACATGTTCATTTTCATATTTATATAGATAAATTTTCATTAGCAAATGTTGATGATATATCATTTAATTTATTAATTTCTTGAGATCGTTATTATGTTTTGTTCAAGTTCTTAATAATTAACTATGAACAAAAATCAGAGAGTGAAAAAAAAAATTGTCTGTTCTATCCCGTGCATGGCATGGGTAGAAATACTAGTATTATTACAAATTTAATAAGAGGTCAGTGTTGTCATTTCAGAATCCCCGCATAAATCAGAATGTACTTTTACTGATACTAGTGCAATTTTAGGAATTGGGCATTGTTATAGTGTTATATAGGTAATTTTCTCTGGTTTTAAATTGGACCCAGATTGTATTGTTTCGAATATTCACCTCCTTCCAATTCTTCATAGGTCTACCCTTTCCCCCACCCCCCACAAACTATCACGAGTCTCTCGCATTTTCGTACCAGGGCCTCAATGCTACGCCGCTTCACGTGACAAAACCATCTCAACCTCACCTTTTGCACCTTATCTTCCATACGTGCTACACCCACCCTTGCTCAGATAACTTCATTCTGAATCATATCCAACCTTGTTTGCACACACGTCCACCAAAACATTTGCATCTTTGATACATGCAGTTGCCAAACGTTCTTGACTGCCCAACACCCTGCTCCATAAGGCATAACTAGTCTGACAACAGATATAACCTACCTTTCGTTATTGCCAAAACCTTCTTATCACACAACCCCCTGCGGCCAGCTTCAACTTAGCCCAAGCGGCTCCAATACAATGAACAACATCCTCATTTGGCAGTGATGTAAGCTTAACGGAAGTAGTGGTAGCTTCGAGAGAGTCTCTTTGGGAACTAGACTAGCCACGAGGTGGTGAACCTCGTTAAACACCCGTAAGCTTAACGGAATTCCTCAAGTTGTAAACGGTTTGTTAAGCACCCGTAAGCTTAACGGAAGTAGTGGTAGCTTCGAGAGAGTCTCTAGGGGAACTGGACTAGCCACGAGGTGGTGAACTAGTATACATCGGTGTGTTCTTTGTCTTCCCTCTTTTATTTCCGCTGCACTTACATTTATATTATTAATCCTGCAACAACCGGTCAACATTCTCAACAACTCTATTCACCCCCCCACCTCCTCTAGAGTTGCAAGCCTTGTCAAACAGATTAACAGTGTCAACCATAACATTAACATTCAACCGAACACCACCATAAAAAGTTTTACATCACCATCAATCAAAGGCATAAAAGAACGGAGTTTTAACATGAGCATTCATAAAAAAATTAAAAATGTTTGATCATTTTTTGCTCTTTCCCAAAGCTGGCTTTCCGCGGAGAGAGGCACGATCATGATTGCCTTTGGATCGGTTTTCGCCGTTCTCCGAATTTGCAAGGCGAGCATCAAAGCTGTCCATCCTTTCATGCAACCTCTTGAGGGGATTCACCACCTTCTTTTTGAAGAAGTCCTTGAGCTTCCGATGAGTCATGGGTGGACGAGGAGACACCTCTAGCCATTGTCCTTGAGCGTTTGAGCCGGGTGGTTGGTTGATCATTATCCGGTTCGTTCTCGTCCTCTCAAAACGAGGATGTAGAGCGTCGAGGTCCAAAACGAGCACGGGTGGCATCATCTAGGCGCTCATATACATACATACATACATACATACATACATACATACATACATACATACATACATACATACATACATACATACATACATACATACATACATACATACAGATATATGTGTGTGTGTGTGTGTGTGTGTTCTGGTGAGAATGCGATCTTTGGAGAGAAATGAGAATGAATCTAGTGCTTTATATTGTGAGATCTAAGGGTCAAGATTGCATCAAAATTAGGTGCACCAAAATAGTTTGAAAATGCATCATGTCAAAATGCACCAAAATCCTTTGAAAATGCACCATCTCCAAATCTCAGCTCAGAATGCAATCTGAGCCACACGATGCATCACATCCAAGGACTTGATTTTATTCTCATTTCTCTCCACAAGGTGCATTCCCACAAGAACTGGCCCATACGTACGTACATACATACATACATAGATATATATATATATATATATATGGGATTGACTCGAGTGAGATGACACCATACGGTCCTCGTTCAGATGATGCAAAGCTCACCACTGGCCACTGCAAAGCTCATCAATGGACAATGCAAAGCTCACCACTTTGAAAACTAAAACTCACCTTTTTAAAATTTTGAAAATTAAAAAATTAATTAAAAATAAAATAGCAATATCGGTCAACCACTGGTCAGCAGCAGTGGTAGGCAGCAAAGCAGCGGCGGCGGCAGAGCAGCGGCAGTGGCTGCCGGCGACCGGCGGCGGTGGCGGCAAGCAGTGGTCAATGCTGGCGGTTAACGGTCAAAACCTAGTCAGCACCCCTTCCTTTGATTTTATTTTTTCAAAAAAAATTCAAAGTGTTGAAAAAATATGGTGAGATTTGCCTTACAGCTTGGTGAGCTTTGTAGTTTTCTTTGGTGAGGTTTGCAATGGCCAGTGGTGAGCTTTGTGTCATCTGACCGAAGCATGTCATCTCACTGGAGTCAATCCCTATATATATATACACACACACACACACACACACACACACACACAGGCCGGTTCCTGTAAGAATGGACCTTGTGGAGAGAAATGAGAATAGTTCTTGACCATTAGATTTAGTGCATTAGACGGCTTAGATTTAAGTCTTGATAATAAACTACCGTGTTGTTTATGGAAAGGAATACCACATGCGCACAAAAATAGGTATTTAGGGGTAAATATGTAAAAAATGATGCATTAAAGTAGCTAATGCTTGAACGCTATCTTCTATTCACGTCTCCACCTATTGCGCTGATAAAGTAGAAAAATTCCAATCCAGGTGCAATTTTTTCTAATCGTTGACTGACGACATGAGAAGTTGCACCATCTAGGAAGAAGGCGAGACGAAACATCTACAAATACAGGTTCAAATATATAATTAAGTTTTCAGAAAAAAAATTTAGTTTTTTATGGGGGGAGGGGGCGGCGATGCATATTAACAATAAAGGTCAACATTAAATATATTATTCATGTTGAAAATTTGTTCGTGGGTTTGTGCAATTTGGGGGTTTTCATCAAAAAATTGGTGATATTGTGATTTAGAGTTTGAGTTTTTAAAATAATTTGGGCACTTTGATTTTATAACATATAAAGAACTAATCGGGATTATTTTCTAATTACTTGATGCTTTAGAGGTGTCAAGCTTGTATATAGGTCAAAGTGATTTGTAGTGCATATTTCTAAATGCATTATCTATAACTTAATTGTATATTTGTTTAGATAATGTGCGTTGTCTGGATCTGTAAATGCATTTTCTAGAACACTAGTTTGGTAATACACTAGTGTTTACTTAAAATTCATAGACTGCTCGAAATGCACCTTTTTAAATTCATGATGCATGTTTGTGGTATTCTTTAGTTTAGATATTGCATTCCTCAGCTTTTTTTACCTTGTGGCATGTTAAATTGAATATCTACGTTGTGTATGTGTGTTTATGCACTGCAGTTTTAGTAGAAGTGCGTACAATGAAACTGGTTGAGCATTTCAGTGGATTGCTTTTTGAAACATCGGTTTCTCAGCTCACTCAAATGCATACTAGCCCAATAAACATTCAGTTGTTATGTTTTCCCTTTCTTATTACTGTTTTACAAAAAGTATGTATGATTGGTGACCATTAACATCTTATATGTATATTGTGCAAGTTGGACATGGACATATGCATTGAAAACGACCTATATTTTTGTAAATAATAACAAATGGTAACATCTCAAGTTCTTAGAGGTGGATATGCAAATGAAAAATACAGCTAATGAGTTGCAGAGTATGTTGGTATAGAGCTCGATCGAAGAGGGAAAAATGGAAGTTAATGAATAGTAAACCATGTGTCTATGTCGATATTGTAATGAATTAAGTCCCATGACAACAAGATATTCTGTGTGGAAAAATATATCTTGAAACTGTTTTTTATTAATTTTTTTACAACATGTACATTGATGAATCTCATACACAATTTGAAGTGTGCATTTAGAAAGAAAATATGCAGTATTAATTATATATTGCATTATTTGTATTTTTTAATGTTCACTCTTCTAATGCTATTATTTTTACTATTAAACACTCTAAATGTGCACATTTACATATGAATGCACTGTGATGGTACAAAACTGCACTGTGATACATGATAAATAATGCATTGTTATTTGACTATTTAAATTTTATTTTATTAATTTGTGGTTTAGCAAATAATGATTCCTAAGTGACTGAATGTGATGAAAAAGTTAGGGAATGTGTTGTGTTGAGAATAAGTGTAATACAAATTTGAGAAATAATTTGCCTATGCGGGATTCGAACCCACATCCGTACTACGTACTGCTCTACCATTTGAGCTAATAGGCAATTTTTGGTTTTTTTCAAAGTGAATCTCACCATACACTTGAACCTATTAAGTACAAATTTTAGTCTTTTAAAATTGACATCATTCAATGTATTTCCAACTCGTATTTAAATGTATCAGATAATATTTTAAATGCATCATCATTTATAGAATATACAAATGCATCATATTTGTGTCAGGAAAAGTTCACCATCAGATGCATTAATTTTGATTTTGAGAATGCATAGTAACAAGTTGTGTTACCTTAAATTTGATAATGCATTACCCTGAATTTGATAATTCACTATCACATAGTCATACTCCTATATAATTCTCTCAAATATACTTCAATGTCAACAGAAAAGTCAAATAAAAAGTAAAAAAGGAAAAAAACAGCATTATACACCTCTAATGAACAACAAAAATATACCAAACCACAACACTTATGTGATTATAATATCTACAACTTTATAATGCATCGCACTATTAGCTAGTTCAGAATGCAGTACTGTGAGGCAAAAAGAAAAATCCTGGTTATATAACTCAAGAAAAAAAGATTGCAGTATAATGCACTCAATAATTCATATAATGCATACTGTGATGATTTACAGAGCTTTGTAAAGAATCATCGTGGTTATATCACTTAAGAAAAAAAGATTGCAGTATAATGCACACTGTGATCATTTGCAGAGCTTTGTAAAGAATCATCCTGGTTATATTCCTCAAGAAAAAACGACACAAATATGAGGTGTCATGATGTGTGTTTTGTACAATTGTATTTTTTAATGCATACAAAATGGTATTTATATTCTAAGTCTTATATAAGCATAAAGATGAGCTTATACACAATCAAGATAATATTGTGCAAAAAATTAAAAATATAATCTTTGCAGGAGTATGATGCACTACTATCTACATCAAAATGCAGTATTGTGTAAAAATATAATTTATAAATTGATTAAAGAAAATTGGACATCACTGGTATTAAAAGGCTAGAATAAGATTCCATCACAAGATGCATCCATACTCCACCTAAAATAGAGATAAGAAACGACATTCACCCTATCTAGATAGTGTAAAGATGAAGTCACCATGTTTTATGGTTATGGGCAGAATTTTAGACATATGCATTACAAAGCACTAGAAATACACTATTGCCTCTTGGCAATGCATTACCCGAACACAAATGTATTCCCAAGAGGATCAAACAAATTTCTACTGAAAAATTACAGAAGAACAAAACAAAATTGTACTGATTACAAAATAACAACAAATATCAAAGGAATCTGCAAAAAAGACTCTGTAGTTGTCAAAAAATTAATATATAAGATGTTACAAGCAATAATCATCTCCAAACTCAGAGAAATAAAACCGATTGATCAAGAACTGAAACCCCCAAATATATAGATTAATGAAATTCGTGATTTAGAATGCATTTTTACCTTATATTTCAACCCCCAAAGTATATCTCTAAAATGCTCTACTGTAAAAGGCAAAAACATTATCACCAAATAGACATAAATACAATTGGATGATCAAGAATTAAACCCCCAAAATATATGGATGATGAAATTCTTGATTCAGAACATAAAAATTGAAACTACCTGATAGCGATGTTGAATCCATAAAATATCTTCTCATTTGAAGATTCCAAGATAATATAGAGAAGTATAAATTGGATCTATTGAGTTCTAGATAATGGGTAAACTTTTAAAAGAGACCCTCAAACCATCAAAATTACTGACGTTTCTTGCTTGACATCCACTATTCTAATGTATGCATCCCAATATTTCCAATCGTAGAGAAAGAAAGGACAGACGCAAAGAGTGGGGATCGTGCACAGACTGTACGGAGACAAAAAAGGAGAGATACGATTGAAAAGTAAGTCCCAAAATACCCATCAAGCGAAACAAATTAATTGTCCAAATCATCCAAGATCCAATGGCCAAAAATCATTCTTATTTCTTTCCTAAGATCTCATTCTCACTAGAACCTATATATATATATATATATATATATATATATATATATGTATGTATGTATGTATGTATGTATATTATTGATATTGACTCAATTACAATGAAGCATCTTCCTATTTGACTTTTTTTGTCATACTTTGTAAATTTTTAGTTCGATATACAGAAAAATTATATTCTATAAAAATATTATATTAATAGTTTCATCATTAAACGTATAGATTTTCATAAAATATATTCATGTATAAATGTAAATATTGGTGGTCGAAATGTAACATTAAATTCATGAAAAGTCAAATGAGAATATCATTTTCTAACGGAGGAAGTATTTATTCATACTATTCGCAATTTAATGACACACAATCAGCCAACGCCTATCCTCTGCTCGAGCTCGAATTTGGGTTAAATCTCCCATAAATCTCGGAGAGTGAGCTTTATACCACTCAAACACAAAACCAATTTCCTCTATATATAGTTGTGCAAAAAGTAGAATGTCGACAGTGGTTTTCTCAATATTTTTATGTTTGGGTTTCATTAATATTCTGCCTAAAAAAAGTTGATTTCTTGGGTGATACGTTTTACTTTTGAAAGAATAGTTATTTTAAAAAAAGATTTATAACAGGTATTTATCCTAAATATTTTTATTACGCCAACCTACCACATGCGAAGTATTTCCTCTGTCTCAAATTAATTTGCATATATAGTATTCAAACTTTCAAACTTCATTTACTTTCAATATATGAAGTATTCCCTCCGTCAAAATTGCATAAATATTCTGTGACGGTAGTAGCATTTTTTTAATAAAAAAAATAAAAAATTTAATTTTTTTAAGGTAGCTATTATGATATTTAGTTATAATACTACAACTTTGTTATTTGCATACTATAATATTAATTGTTGGTTTAAAGAAAATAGTTTGTATAATTTAATTTGTTAGGACCAATGCCCATTTTTTTGTCTCGTCCAGGGCCATCGAATTCTTAAGGTTGGCCCTGATCAAAACAGACAATTTAAATTGAGACAAGAGAAGTACTTTCAATCCTTTTCAAATACACAATATTTTATTACTTTCTTCGTTCTACAAAACATTTCCTGTTTTGACTTTGGGGAGGAGATGCTCTAAGAGTTTAACCAAGGTGAAACAACAATTGAAACAAGTACGGCTTGGTAAATGTCAAAATGGGTAGGGCGTATAAGGTAATTAGGGTATGTTCACTTAGATTTAAGAAAAATAAGGCCAATTATGTTCATTTATGCCAATTAAATTTTTTTTGAAAATGTAAGATAAGAAAGTTCAAAAGTTTTCTAGGACGGAGAAGGTATATCTCATAATAGGGAAAAGAACAAGAAAGTGAAAACATACATTTTGGCGATGTTCTCATTACATGATCTGAATGGTTCTGATCTGATTAAATCTGGTCTGATCTAATTTGATCTGAACTAATTCAAATAAGAAAATGTAATAAGTAATAAAAATAAGTTGAAAAGAACACGACCTATGTCTCCCTAAACTTCAGGAAGAATAAAAAGGGACGAAGGGAGTAGTTGGTTTATCCTTTAGCTCCCTTACATATTGCATTGTCACTAACACTATGTTTGACTCAAGGAATTTGAAAGGGAAAAGAAAAGAAAATGAAGTGGAATTTTTTTTTTTGTTAGGTTAGAGAGGAAAAAAGGAAAAGTAGAAGGAAAAGAAAATGAGAAGGAAAAATGTACTAAGTAGGGGGATCCAGATTTCTCCCATTTTGATGAGTAAAATAAGAGAATCATTTTCCTTTCTTCAAAATTCCTTAGAACCATACATAGTCTAAAGCAACCTTGTGTAGAAAGATGCCTGTAGAATATTTGAGAATTGTATGTACAGATGAATAAAACCAAACAATCCAAAAATTATTTCCCACCTGAACAAAATAGTAGTCCTAAAGAGTCCTATGAAGAATGGCTCGAAGGAGAACTATCAATACAAGGAGTAGTATTTCCCCTCATATCCCTTGTACCTCAAGCCCCTTGAACCCATTTTGCTTGGATTTACAACAGTTCAAATGGATATCATCATTTTTACAATCCAAAGAGAAATCTAGTTCAAAAAAGGGAAAACATGGCTTTAACAACCTCCAAATCCCAACATTGACGAAAACCCATGCAGCCATGCTCATTCACGCAGTCATGCTGCCCTTGGACAGAATTTTCGGCCATTGCCAGAACCTTCTTTTTGCACCAGTTCCTAAAGGAGCAGAGTAGAATTCTCTTCTGCACTGCTCACATTCTGGTACTTCTTCAAGTCTAGCCAAAGAACTCTCCAAATCTCCTACCGACAATGGCAGCCTAGAATCCAAAGCAGAATAGTACACAGAGATTGCTTCATTGGTCTTTGGAGCTTCCAAATTAGTTTGTTGACTCCCTATATCAACATAGAAGTAACTCTGGCTGCAGCTTCCAAGCACGGGCTTCCTAGTCTCATCGAACTCGTTGCAAATGAATTTCAATGCTTGAACAACTTCGCCCATAAAGGGACGATGAGACGCTTCTGGTTGGACACACATGGCTGCAATTGCTGCAAATTTGATTACCCCATCAAATGGAATGTCTGATGACTTAATGGTTGGGTCAACAAGTATTTGCAAGCCTTCCATGGTTGTAAGGAGAGGGCGGGCCCACGCGACGAGATTCTCTTGACCAGGTGGTTGTGATAAGTCCACCGGCTGACGTCCACTCAAAAGCTCAAGGAGGACTACACCATAGCTATACACATCACTTTTCACTAGGAGGTGCCCGGTCATGGCATATTCAGGAGCTACATACCTGAAATACAATGCTTAAGACAGTTAAAAGGATAACATGAGTAAGATTGAAAATTGCAAAACAAGGAAAATTATGTAGGGGACTAAAATGCCAAGGACCTTGTAGTCAATGGCACCGCTATGGCTCTCCCAAATGAGAGGTCACGTGTTTGATCCCCAGTGAGGGCATTAACTCTACGAGCTTTAATAGGTTGAGAATGTATGCACACATACTACATTTATTAGTGTTCAAAAAAAATAGGGGACTAAAATTTGATAATAATTTTTGAAATAGAACTGCTAAACCTCTTATACAACTTAAAAGTAGGTAATAAAACCTGAAGTACCCTAACCCTCTGGCCACCGGCTCATGGACCACGGCCAACCGCCAAGGCCGGCCACCACCATGGTTGGCTCATTGACAAGTGGTCAGTGAAGCATTGATCACGACCTCCAGGCATTGACCAGTCTTCAGTGAGCCGTGAGCTGGCGGCAGTGGCAAGTGGCTGGAGGTGGGTGGTTAGTAGGCGATGGTGAAGTGGTCAGCAGGCCAAACAACTTGGGTTCGATGTAGAAATATTAATTAGGATATAAGAGAATGGTGGGTAACAATTTTTAGCCTTGTTTTATTAGGGCTAAAAGGATTACTACAGAAGTAAAACATATATGGTTCTATATAGTATATGGAGCAATTGAGCAATTCTCTCTAATGCGATGTGACCCATACCCAAAAGTACCCATAACATGAGTTGATGTATGTTTGTTTCCGTCATCGGGCGTAGTTCTAGCTAATCCAAAATCCGACACTTTTGGGGTGAAGTCATGCTCTAGTAGTATATTGCTCGACTTGAAGTCCCTGTGTATGACGCAGGGATTTGAATCCTCGTGCAAATAGGCCAACCCTTGAGCCGCACCTAACGCAATCTTCATCCTAGCATGCCAATCAAGTGGAGAAGCCTTCTTATTAACCCCATGCAAATGAGATTGTAGACTCCCATTAGGGACAAGTTCGTAGACCAGGCAACGATAATTGTCTTCTGTGCAGATGCCTATCAGTTTCACCAAGTTTCTGTGGTGCAGACGACTTAGCATCTCCACTTCAGCCAAAAACTCACGCCTGCTGTGCCGATCATCTCTCTTTAGAGTTTTCACTGCCACCTTCCTTCCATCATCAAGAATGCCACTGTGTACAAGTCCAAAGCCACCTTCCCCTAGGATGACTTTGAAGTTATCTGTTGCTCTTTCAATACCAGATGCACTGAAAATCTTGGCTGTCCCAGCATATGCCAAAATGTAAGAATTGAAAGACGACGTTGATGTTGAGATTGTCTTACTTGTAATTGTTAATGACCCAACAGAACCTGCAGTAGACCTTAAAGACTGTCATGTATGGAAGAGCTCATAATATAATCAAAGGTAAATACGTCGTAATAATTACAACCTTGAACAGCACAGAATTTAGAAAAAAACAACGCACAAAATCAAATAATCAAAGTAAGAGTTAAATTCTCAGTTTGCATACCTGATGCTTTCACCTGAGAAGATCCCACATTATGTGATGTTTGCATATGCCGATAAGTACGGCTTCTGAGTTTTAGACAGAGAAGCCAAATAACTCCCACACATATGAAAAAGGCAGCCACAAATGATAGAACTACTCCAGTATTCATATTTCTCCCAGTCCCATTCTTTCTTGTCCTTGATATGTCTACTCCTAAAGGTTTGATTGTACTTCCATCGATGTGGTTTCCAGAAAAGGGTCTATCATCCCTTGGAACATTAGATGAAGGCATTGAAGGTGGAGATGGTGGTAACCCTGCATTAATGTAACATGTAAGAATCATAATACTTATTTTAAAGAAATGTTAAAACAATGGACAGCGAAAATGAGCAGAGGTATTTGAATAAAGCTAAAACAGCCATACAGGTCTCAACAGTATGCCTGCAAAAAAATGCTTGTATTGAGTAGATTCTATTAAAGGAAATGAATTTGGAGCATTTGGAAAATTGAATCCAAAAGTAGAAATAATTTCTTCTGGATAGTGCAACCATTGATAATTTCTTACAAGGTGTTCCAACAAATCTGTGTGCTAAACATGTTTAACAATAATAACTATCAATTAACAACCTGGATAGTGAACATAAACCACCTCATAGGAGCCAAATAGCGATGCCTTTATTGAAAGCTCCCTCTTCCATAACAAATCATAGATTGCAAATGCAATTGTGGCATTAAATTCATCCTCTGTGGGTACCAAGCTGACAAGTGCAATGGTTTTCTCAAGTTGTTGATTAACAGCATTTGCTCCCATGATGCGCACTTGGCTTTGCTTCAGAGAAATGCTAGTGGCTATTTCTTTAGAAAGCTCGGAGACCAATGGAAAGAATGCATATAAAGTAATACTGAGGCGGATTGCAATCTCAATAGGCAGAACACAAGCACATGGTGATCCGGGAGGTGTGTAAGTTTGAGGGTCAGTGCAAGTCATTGACTCACAATCTACACATACAATGAAATGAACACTTTAAGTGTAATTTTTGGCTCACGTATAATACTAGGGAAAGGAAAAATGCATTTTTTATATAGAGTTTATGGCACTTTTGGAAATTTTAAAAAAAATAAAATATGAATACTTTTTCTAAAATTGCTTGCATATATTTTTATATTTTAGTAGTTATTCTTAATAAAATAAAGACAATGACTTTGAACTTCGAACATTTATAGAATATACTCCCTCGAATATCTATAGAATATACCATTTGACTTCACAAAGTCTAAGGAAAGTGTAGAAATTAAGAAAATTGAAAAGTGGTGTCATTGAAATTTGTTAAGAGAGAGAAATTTAGTGAGCAACATATTTCTTTCCGTATTACGAAAGTAAGTGTAGATTTTACGTTGGAACAGCCTGAAAAGGAAGGTGTAAAGTTTAATCTAGGGAAGATGGAGTAGATTTATGAAGTTTGAATTTGAACTTGTCTTACTCTCCCAAATTTGATTTCCTTAATTCTTGCCAATTATACTCTCCAACATGTTTTTTGTATTCCAAACGGACCATTAGCAGAGCATACAGGAATATTGACGGGATTACAATACTCCATGGTGTATGTCTTTTACCTTTACTAGGAGGTGGTGGCGGTAGTGCCAGCAGTGGCAATGGCGGTGGAGTCACCATCTTCTTTTTCCTGGAACACTGCGAGCTTGAGGGCTGAGGGGAAACTTGCCCAGAGAAAGCAAGAGTGATGCTTTTTATTAAGAAATCATTAACAGTATATTTGACAATAAACAAAAATTGAAAAAAGAAATAAAATCAAGAAGTGCTTTCACATACTAGTGAAATGGCTTGATGGAACCATTGCTGATGACTGAGGTGCTAACAATCCTTCTGGTGATGAAGGAAATGATGACTGAGATGGAGACATTGAAGGCCAATGCCCTATAGGAGTAATAAGAACATGAGATACCATAGAGTCATATATTGCTTATATCAAAACATTTATTTGTTGTTTATTGCCCCCGTTCTTAAATAACAGTCCATTAAGGTAAAATAGTGGCCGAAATATAAAAAATGCTGATAAGGTAGCTAATTGAATTAGAAGTGTTAAATAAAAGATGTGAAAATTGGGTAGAATGAATTTAAAATACTCAATGGGAGAAGTAGAAGAAAAAAGGGGATCTAATAGGAAAAGTATTGGTAAAATTGGAAAATATTTATGGAAAGGTGACTTAAAACAAAATAAGTTGCTCAGACTACCTTTTTATTATAGTCGCCCTACAATGTCACTTATTTAGTTTGACAAACACTTTTTTAGATCTTAAATAAGTGGCAGTTGTTAAAGAATTTGAATAAAAATTAACCTTGCCAGCTCGGCTGAGGAGCAAACTTGCTGAGTTCATTTCTTCTATGATTCTGTTTAGAAGATGAGGATGAAGGTGGAAGAGCGAATCTGGGCATCCATTTCTTTAAATGTTGCCTATAAGTTGGCTTAGAAAGTATATCTGAATAGTGAAATTGACTCAAGATCTTGTGTGGATTAGCAGCTGCAGAAGAAGGTAAGAGCGTTGGCTCTCAGTTATGCTTTCATAATTCAAATTAAAGCTGAAGCTTGAATTAGTTCTATATACCTACGTTTGGCGAACAATTCATTGGTTGTGGATTGTGGATAGACTTGCCATGGCATTCAGCTGTGATGCTTGAATGTCCCTTCCAGCCGAAGATTGTGTAAATTGACTTGGGGTAGAATGCAAGGTCTGCCATTTCATCATGAACAAGAAAGAAAGCTACTCTGTATTAAATGGAATATCCATAGACCAACAATGTATATTGAACTATGGGCATTGGCAACAGAAAATGTGATTTCATCGTAGACAAGAAAATTAAAAAAAAGAATGGATTATCATAAACACCCAGTATACACAATCCAAAACTGCAGTAGAAAATCTGAAACTGATTCAAAAGCAGAAATTAGTTCCTCTAGGTGTAGAAGAGCAGTGAAGCTTCCTTAAAAGAAAGCAGATTAAATCCTGAAATGGAATCTACGAATCCGGCAACACTGGGCACACCCTTCAGCAATGTGCAAATTTAAGTAATCAGAAGAAAGCAATAAAAAACACATAGAATATCGCACCTGCAGATGCTTGGAGTGAGAAAGCATTGAGCATCAAGAAAACTTTTTGCAACAAGAATAGCTGCATCACAACCATATCTTCCTGAAGATGAAAAAAGTAATCATACCATCCCAAGCAAGGACAAGGATTTGAACATAAACTGTACGGCTTCACACAATGTAGTTGATTTGGTGGCAACAAATGTTTAAATAAAAAAAGGAAGAAATCTTGCACCGGAGTACAGTACTGCACTAGAACCACTACTAGTAGAGTAGTGGCCGAAGTGAGAAGGATATTCCTATTTCTTGATCTTACAAGATCCCAAAAAGTAAAAGAAACGCAACAAAGCACAAAAGAAAGGAGGAGGAGGAGGAGGAGGAGGAATGCCGTGCGCCGCTTACCACGTTTCTCACGGAGTAGTATTTTCATTGTTTGACTCTCTATTACTCTATTAGAGCTTCCTTCACGTGGGACTGTGGGAGATGGACTTTTTTATTACTCCCTCCGTCCCGTGAAACATTTTCCCTTTCTTTTTTTATCCGTCTCACAAAACACTTCTCATTTCTATTAAAAAGTCACTTTTACCCCTTACTTTTTCATACCCTAACTATCACATCATACCTTTTTACTAATAATCTATCCATCAAATCATACTTTTACTCATCACATCAAAGGACATTTTTGGAAATTGAATACCAAAATACACTCCCTTAAATCCCTCCTAAAAAGCAAATGTCCCATGTTTCACGGGACGGAGGGAGTAGAAAATGTCTGTAAACCTCTCTCTTCTTCCATTGCTACTTCAATCATTATTATCTAATTACAAACAAATCTCAAATCAATCATCTTAGGACTATACTAAAAAGTGTATCTCAAGTTCTACTTTAAAAAAAAATACACCAATATTTTAATGGTTTATACTGATACAAAATGTTAGTTTAACTAAAAAAAATTGTACTGATATTTTTTGTCAATGTAAACCATCATAAAATTTCGATACATGTCTTTTAAATACAAAATGAGGTACAAATTATAGTTTACAAATAATTTAATCCATCTCAAATTACTCCGTATCTTTCAAGTCACCCTAGCATTTTATATGATTATATGCTAGTACTCCGTATAAGGGATGTTCTTTAGGGTTAAAAAAGAAAGTTATTTAAAAGAATTGGGAGAAACTAGAAAACATTAGAATTAAATATAAAAAATGGAAAGAAATTATAAAAGTTGGAAGACACTAGAAAAATAGAAAGAAATTTTAAAATATCAGAATAAACTAGAAAAAAACTGGTTTAAAAAAACTAAAAGAAACTCGAAGAAGAAAATGGAAAAAGTTAAAAAGACTAGAAGTTGGAAATTATTGGGAAAAAATGAAAAAATGTTGAAATATATATTATACGGAGTACTTTTGAAATTACAAAAACGATAAACGAAGGGTGTAGAAATAAATAGTTACTCTATGTATTTCAACTTTTCGAGTTTCTTTCAACTCCCTCATGTTTCTTACAGCTTCTTCTATTGTATTCCAATTTCTTTCGGGTTTTTTTTCAATTCTTTCTAATTTATTCCAACTTAGACCTGTGCAAACAAGGGTCGGCCCGTTCGGCCCGCCCAGCCCGCCCTTTAAAAAGGGCGGATATGGACAACCTTTAATACCCAAATGGGCGGGCCGGCCCAAGCCCAAATTGTATATGGGCGGATCTGGAAGTTACTTTTAGCCCATATGGGCCAACAGGCCCGCCCATATCATCAAATATATTTACTTTATTATTAGCCAATATAAATTTTAAAATTTTCTATAATTCATGTATAATAGTTTAATTCACTCACCTCTTTTAAACAAAAATCGATACTCTTTTAATGAATCAGTATGATGAGTTTATTAATTATGCAACAATATCTCTATTATGTTTTTTATATAAATGTGGTGACTGGTTATTTTATTTTAAATATTAAAAAAGAGTTCAATGTTTTTTTTTAATTTTTTGTACAAAAAAAAATTCTTGGTGTTTTATCCGGGCCGGGCGGCCCGGTGGGCAGTCCGGCCCGCAAAGATGGGCGAGTATGGGTAAAGAATTTAGCCCATCAAATCCGGGCCGGGCCAGGCCCGCCCATATCAAGCCTGGCCTAGATCCGGCCCAGATCCTTATTTGCACAGGTCTATTCCAACTGCTTCCTGTTTCATCCATCTCTTTCTAGTTTCTTCTAACATTTTCTAGTTTCGTCCAATAATGACTTAAAAAATGTCAGAGTGTATTTTTCATATTATTCTTATAATAATGATGATAATAATAAATTTTAGTTTTTAATGAGCCCTTTTTAAGGTATTTTAGTGATCACTAAAAAATATTATTTAGTTATCTAATAACTTTTAAATGTCATTTTTCCCTTTTTCATAATGTATGATCATAATATGTTTTGATATAATGTTTAATTCTTTTCTTGAAGGATTATTAGGAGCTCTAATTGGAACACATATTGAAGCACGTGTAGGTGATAAACATGTTCAACCTTTCCGAGATAGTAAATGGAACCAGAGTTGGAATGTTTTTGCCTCACTTGACATGTTGTTTACATATGTCAATGCCGGTTGGGAAGGGAGTGCACATGCCATTGTTAGTCGGTTTAGTCGTTGTGCCCACGCCTTAGAGGGGGGGTGAATAAGGCGTTTAAAAACTTTTCGGAGTTAAGTAAAAATGGTGTTGGCAAATGCGGAAGCAATATATAAAACACAGAAATAAAAGCGTAAATAAAATGCACACCAATTTTATACTGGTTCGGGAACTCCCTACTCCAGTACCTCGAGGCTCCTCCTCAAGGATTTCCGAATCCACTAAGTCTCGGCCTCTTGAACTCCGTCAAAGCACCGCACTAGTTTTTGCAAACAACCCTTGCCAATAGGATTCACTCCGAGATTTCACAACGGCTATCTCGAACCGTTTACAACGAAGATTTAACGGCTATCTTCTACCGTTCCCCCAAGGATTTCAAAGGCTATCCTTGAACCTTTACCCAAGGATTTATACGGCTATCCTTAACCGTTACAATGTGAGAATTTAACGGTTATTCTCGACCTTAAGAAGGTGTGTTTGAAGAACACAAAAGAGGATTCTACACAACGGCTAGAATATAAAAATGAAGAACAAAACTTAGCCGGTGTAGAAGGAAATTATACTCTCTCAAAAATACAATATAAACTTATGAATATGAGAGTATATAACTAGAAACACAAGGTCAAAGTGTGTGTATAAAATTCAGGAATTTAAGGCTCTTGAAATAGCCAAAATATTGAAAATAATTAATAAAAGGATCAACACACTTAGAATAAAGAGAGAGGATGTTTAGAGCTTTGTTTCTTGAAGAAATATGAAGGATTAGGCTTGTATTTATAGTGGAAGATGTTAATTAGCCGTTGGGAGGTGATTAGGGTTGATTTAATTCAAATTGGCAATTTTGCTACACTGCTGTAACGGATCCGGTACCCTTCACGGTAGGGGGGTCCGTGTCATCCGGTACCTAGGTACCGTGACACGGTACGGCCTACCGTGTGGGAGTACCGTGTCTTCCAAAAGTTCAGTTCGCCTCTGGCGGTACCTGGTTAGGACAGGTTCGGCCAACCGTCTACGCCTACCGACGATACCTAGGTACCGTTACACGGTATGGGGGTACCGTGTAGGCGGTGATAAAGGCATTCAACTTCCAACGATCATCCCTTCCCATCGCTGGGTTCCCATCGATGGGTAAAGCTTCCCATCGCTGGGTAAGGGCATTCTGCCTTGTGATAATATTGGACCAAGGCTTGAACAGCGATGGGTAGAGCTTCCCATCGCTGTTTGGCATGGTTCTGGAAGTTGGTTTGGCTAAGGGGCTACTTACCCATCGATGGGATGTTCTTCCCATCGCTGGGTGGGTGGTTAGCCAAAAACCTATGGTTTTTGCCTTAACCACGGCCTAGCCAACCGATGCAAAAATCGACCGAAAAATCCAAAGTTCTCAAAAATAAAAACCAAGTGTTTAAAACACTTATCTGATGTATTTGGCTAAGAAATAAAGTGAGACACTTTAAAAAAAACACGTCATTTGAGTAAAAACCACGGCTAGCCAAGTTTACGCCGTTTTGCGTGGTTTTTGTCAAACGACTAAAAGCGAGAGATGGTTTTCATAGTGTTTTTGTTGGAGAACCGTTTAAACATGCCAAAGAGTGAAAGCAGATCATAAAATGCTGAAAACCACTTGGTTGGTTCGGATGCCAAAAACCAAACCCGACAACCGAAAGCAGAACGCTGGTTTCTGAAAGCCGAACACTGGATGGCTTGGTTTTTGGTTTGGGCGAACACCAAGTGTTTTTAATGACTTAAACAGGTTTAAAAACATTTTTATGATGTAAGAAATGCAATGAGAGTTTTTAGCCTAAAGAGCCAAGGTGTAAAGATTGGGTCGGTCTTGATCACAATAAAGACCCACTCAATACTATGATTAAGGTCTTCGTTCTTGGTCTTCGTTTAGCTCTTGCTCTTATCTTCGTTCTTCGCCTTGTATATTCAATGTTCGACTTGATCACAGCGGTTTGCCATTATCAAAACCTGTTACAAAAACGAACACGACTTTAGTACGAAAACGTGACAAGCCCGTGTTTCAACAACATGAAAAACATGAACATGTCTGAGTCTAACCTTTTCGCAGACTAAGTGAATATCAATTTCCACGAGTTTTGTGCTCTGATGTTGAACAAGATTCTCTGAAAGATAGACTATGGAAACATTGACAAAGTACATTATGGTCGCTTTATAACCAGAACATGAAGCTCAAGAAGAAGGTTGCGAAGCCACGGAGTTTTAGAAACACCATTTGCATCGCCTTTATATTCTACATCTGCACTGGATTAAATTAGGAAACTATAGGGTGACGTTAAATAACCACGAGCCCTATCCGTCCAGCTCTGCAGCCGAGCCGAAAGTGTCTCCTGTAACACCCTAATCCGTCCAAGTCTGCAGCCCCTTTTGGACTAAAGTATTAACTTGGTAATCGTAAATTTTTAAAACATTTCAATCACTTTTATTTATCACAATAATATTTTTCATAACATAACAGTACAAAGTTTTCAATATTGCGGAAGCTTAACAAATTATAATCACAAACATGATTTATTTATGTTTTTCAATTCAAAACCATCACATCCCTTCTGACAATCTCGCCTTCGTCTGCCTCAGGATCACGTCACATCATTCTTTCTAATAACCTGTGGTAGCAAATAAAACATACTACACGCTCAGCGTTGAAGCTCAGTAAGCATATCTAATGCGTCGAACATCCATATAAATTGAATCTCAATTCATAATCAAATCATTTGATATGATGCACAAAATGTTCAGTTCAGATATTTAATAATCAATATTCAATATTCATCATTCAATATTCAACATTCAATATTCAACATTCAACATCATCATTCAATATTCATATTCAACATTCAACATCATCATTCCACAATATACTTAAACTATGCTTAGTCTAAGGCCAATCTCTTTAATGTTTACCAACTCTCAAACGAATTCTAGTTTAAGTTTCTTAAACTATATTCAAGTTTAAGGCACTC